TTTGTCAGTGCTTCTGTGCACTCATAGGCCTGGTGCAGGACTCTGTATGTGATTCTCCTTATTTTACCAGATAACGGGACATTTTTAGTTTTGGGGAGATGTTTGTTGGGGGATCTGGGATCCTATGGGTTACCTCACCTTCCAGGGTCTCGGTTTCTTCTTCTGCAAAATGAAGGTGTTAGACTAGATATAAGATCCCTTCCAGCTCTGAATCTCTGGACCCTTCTCATTTTCCAGCCATAGCCTCTGCCCAGATCCCCAACTTCAAGGGAAATTGGGCAAGGAGAACTCTTAACACTCTTCCAGTATATCATTTTTCTTGAAGTTAAAGAAAATGAAACTACATACTCATTAATCTAATAATCTTTCTCTGCTTTCTGTCTCCTTTTCTCCCCTTCTCTCTCCACCCCCCCCACCCCACCCCAGCTTTGTTGCTTATAACTTTTGTTTCTTGTAATTTAGTCTGGTACCTTCTTCCATTTAGCTGTTTAGCTGTGTGTCAAGTTGTGGTTTTTTTTTTTTTTATGTATGTGTGTGGGTTTTCTTCCCACTGCTATGACTCAGTGGATGGATTTTGCTTAAGCTGCTTTCAGAAAACCCACAGCAAGAAGGAGTGCATGTCCAAGTCTCAATTTGTTACTCAAACTTAAAAGCAGAGAATTTACACCCAATAATGAAGGGAGGTGAAGAAACTTAAAAAGTTTCTGACTTATGATAGAAGCCCATACGTGTACACTTATTCCCTCTGACCCAAGTAAAATATAGGTAGCATTATGAACAAAAAATTCCTCTTGCCTCTGTGTTTGAGATCGATTCTGGGGTTTCTTTCAGGAGTACAAATTGCTGGTAGGCATGCTGTGGTGGTTGGACGTAGCAAGATTGTTGGTGCACCAATGCATGACTTGCTTCTGTGGAATAATGCCACAGTGACCACATGCCATTCAAAGACTATCCAGTTGTCTGAGGAGGTAAGATCTTCAGGGAATAGTGTATACCTAAGGTTTATCAGTGTTAGCTGTCCAAAGGTGTGCTATGTCATAAGGGTGCAGGGAATTGGATGTCACAAAGTAGCACTTGGACAGTGGCAGTTTGTTTTCTGACTACACTGAAATCCTTAGCACGGAACAGGAATAAATTCTAATGTCTTTGTGATCATAGGCAAATGTCTAAATCAAGATGTTCAGCCAGATTTTTGTATTCATAATAAGATGAGGCTAATGCTTCTGTGAACAGAGATGTGTCTTGTAGAATTGAAGGAGATAAATATCAGAAATAGCTTCACTTGGGATTTTTAGTAATGAGTCTTTGGCTCATTTGTAAGGCTTTCCTCTCAACCTCTCCCCTTAAATATCCCCAGTAAATTTCTTTCACAATGTCCCTACAAAGAACATGGTCGTATCCCTATTTTATAGATGAGGAAATTGAAACCTAAGAAGCTAAGTGACTTACAAGGCTTGTCTGAGATAGCTTAGAGGAAAAGACAAGATTCCTGATGTTATCTTCCCATCCCAATGCCCTTTCCACTTCTTGACTGTATTTCTAGTATCAATTTCTATTTACTGCTATGATTGTTTTTGTTTTTTCCCCCCTTTTTTTGACAGGTGAATAAAGCTGATATTCTTGTGGTTGCAACTGGACAGCCTGAAATGGTGAGAGGAGAATGGATTAAACCTGGAGCTATAGTAATAGACTGTGGAATCAACTATGTTCCAGGTTGGTGCTCCACTTGCTATTTTTGGAAGTTGGGGAGGGTAGAGGAAGATCCTTTGACTCATTGGAAATAAGCCAAGAACGTACACGTTGAATGGAATGGTGATGAGTGAACTATTCTAGAACTTGTGCCATTTATGGGACCTTAATGTGATGGGGAATGGGAGGGAGTAAAGATGTGATTTTTAGATGACGTTGATGAAATCTAGTCTTACTGAATAAATATACAGTGTAGCATCTAGGCTTTGTTTCAAGTCTTAAAGTGAAAGATAATCTTCTTTTCCCCTTCTAGTCTTAAATATGAGGTACAGTTATTAAATTGCTAAGAAAATTAGTCACTGTCAAGTTTTCACCATATTTAATCTCCCTCCCACTCTCTCACCATGCTTTTAAGGCAGTAACTCATAATTGATAGCTCATTTTTCCTGCAGTGCAATTACCTAATGGATTATAAAGAAATTGCTCTCCTAAAACTCATCGCTTTCTCTGCTTCCTGATGATACCGGAGTTTCTTCTCTTTAAGATCTTATGTCCTCTATATAACAAGATTTCAGCCTTTGCCATTCTTCACCTTTATCCTTTGTGAGATGCAGAGAGATAGAATAAGAAAGTTAATAGATGATGGCTGGTTATTCTTGTAGGTTATCATAGAATGTTTACTTGAACTTGAAGCTTTTATCTGTCTTCCCTACAATCTGCCTTTCTTAGAGAATAAATATGAATAAAACAAAAACAGCTCTTTCTTACTGTTGTTCCTCTGTGAATTGTTATTGTTAGGTTAGAACATATACACACATAGTTGTCTACAAAACTGGTTCTCATGTTGCATGAGAAAGAATAAAAAATGTGACAGAACAATAGAGTGAATGAATCCAAAGGCTAAACTTTCCAAATGTCCTTTTGGATAGATCCTTGTCCCCTACAAAGGGATGCTCATGTCTTGGTTCTTATTTTAATTATTACTTTTAATATTAATTTATTAATTCATTTAAATAATTAAGTTAATAGTAATTTGATTATTACTTTTACTTTAATCATTACTTTTGTAGTACATTCAAGGGATAAAATAACATTGTCCTACCAAAAACCCAAGCGGCCTCTGCCAATTGAAAGTAGAAGAAAGCAGTTGGGTTAGTGAAAAGAATGGAGACTATGCCATATAAGATCATCGGATGGAACTGGGAATGTGTATCCTGTAGAAGAGAAGACTTAAAGGGGATATGATAGCAATTTCCAAGTATTTGCAGGGCTATCATGTGGAAGAGGGATTAGACTTCCTATGTTTGGCTGTAAGAAGCCAAACTAGGAGTCAGGTAGAAGTTTCAGGAAGGCAAGTTTCAGTTCCATGTAGAAAAATACTTCCTGATAACTTGAGCTATCTCAAAGTAGAATGGGCACTGGTCTTCTTGCTGGGAAATGGTGAGTTTCCCCTCATTGACTAGGTCTTTAAGCAGAGGCTGGAGGACTTTTTGTTGGGGCTGCTCTAAAAAGGATTCTTTGTCTTGTAGAGGCTGGATTAAAGGGCCTCTAAGGACCTCTCCAAATTTTAGAGGCTGAAATTCTGTGAAAGCTTCCACATCTTCACATTGAAAAATGGCCAATCTGGTAGTCATACCTTTCCTAAGGCAGTCAAAGAGCTGAGAGAGAGATAAGACTACCATAAAATTTAGCCATTCTGGAGGAAAATTGAGATTTGTGATTTGTACAGTAGGTTTTGGAAATTGTTGAGTGGTTGCTATGCTGGATGTTATTTATTGAAAGACTGAGAGGGCTACTGTACTTCATGAAAACAGGAAAGCAGTCTGTAAGCCCACCTTATTATTGGACTAAATCTGAGAGTACAGAAAAAGAAAAGTTTGAAGTGAATCCAAAAACTAAGCTATAGGTAGTAGTTGACTATAACATGCTACAGTTTCATTAATTGGAAATGTTACTCTGAGCCTTTTAGCTTAAGAGATCCAGGAATAAGTGTTCTTTCCCAGTTTACTGCTCAAAAACAAACAAAACTTCTCACAATCTAAAGCTTTCACAGGAAGTTCTGGTTGTGAAGGTAGAGAAGCAGCAACAGCAACATCCCTTATATTTGCATGGTGTCTTATCCTTTTAAGAGCACTTGCAATTACATTATCTTATTTAGTTCTAGAAACGCTTCTGTGAGTTTGGTAGGGGAGGTGGCATTTGCCAGCACTGCAGAGGAGGAGGCTATAAAGGCTGAGCGTGGGTTAGCCATGTCAAGACACAAGACTCCTACATCAGTGCTCTTCCCAATATAGACTTCTTCATCCCTAGAGAACTGAAAGCAAAGAAAAGTGGTGACTGAAACAAGATTACATGCAAACGTTGGAAGGCCTTGCTCACAATGGAATTCCAGATTCTGGCTCTGAACCTTGGAGCTGCAAAGTCTAGACCTTCCCCTTTCCTAGGAGAAGCAGTGAAACTGAGTGTGGGAGGTGCTTTGTGTGAGGGAGTGTATGGTGTATCCTTTGCTTTTGTTCTTCCAAATAGCTATTCTTTGCTGGTAAGATTTGTAGTTGTTCTTGGCATCCTTTTGAGGAAAGTGTAATTACATTCTTTGCCTTTTGCATACATTTATGGAGCTGCTCGTCTTTGGAATTGGATGTTGGATTGTTCTTCAGCTCATGCAGGGAAGCTTAACAGAATGCTGACAGTTGCTGTAGAAACGGAATCTGGCAGATGTGACAGGGTTCAGGCTTTGTGCACCTAAAAACTCTCTTTGTAGGCCGTGGTAAATTAACATTTTAAGATGGGTTCATTATGGAACTGTTAATTGGCATAAAGAATAAAGAACAGCTTTGGTTTTCTTCAATGCCGGGTGTCAGGCAAAAGGATTTTCCTGTTAGTCTATCAAAGCCTAAGCATTTTATTGTTTTTCCATCTTTTAGTGTTTGTTTATTTTAATGATTTAGCAACTACCATTTATCTTATTCTTTTTGAAGTTGAAAATAGCAATAGCTTACCATAGCCATAGCAGATTTTTTTTAATTTATTTTTTCTCCCCAGTTACATGTAAAAACAATTTAACATTTGTTTTTAAAACTTTGAGTTCCAAATTCTCTCCCTTCCTCTCTCCCCACCCACCTTCATTGAGAAGGCAAGCAGTTTGAGACAGGTTATACATGTATAGTCATGCAAAACTATTATTCATGTTGTGAAAGAAAACATAGACCAAAAAACTCAAGAAAAATAAAGTTAAAAAAAGTTCAATCTGTATTCAGGCACTATCACTTCTTTCTCTGGGGATAAATAGCATTTTTCATCATAAGTCCATCAGAGTTGTCTTGGATCATTGTGGTTATTCACAGCTGAACATCTTAAAATATTGCTGTTTCTTTGTACACAGTACATTTCACTTGGCATCAGCCCATGCAAGTCTTTCTAGGTTTTTCTGAGAGCATCCTGCTCATCATTTCTTATGGTACAATAGAATTCTATCATAATCACATTCCACAGCTTATTCAGCCATTTCCCAATTGATGGACAACCCCTCAACTTCTATTTCTTTGTCTCCATAAAAGAGCTACTATAAATATTTTTGTACATATAGGTCCTTTTCCTTTTTGTTTTTTATCTCTTTTGGGATACAGACCTAGTAGTGGTATTGCTAGGTCAAAGAGTATTCTTGGTTTTATAGCCCTTTAGGCATAGTTCCAAACTACTCTGCAGAATGGTTCAATCAATTCACAACTCTACCAATAGTGCATTAATGTCTCATTTTTCCCACATCCCTTCCAACATTTCTCATTTGCCTTTTCTGTCCTGTTAGCCAGTCTAACAGATAGGAGGTAGTACCTGAGAATTGCTTTTAATTTGCATTTCTCCAATCAATAGTGAGTTAGAGTATTTTTTCATGTGGCTTCAGATAGCTTTGATTACTTTAGCTAAAAAATAACCATACTTTTTGATCATTTATCAGTTGGGGAATGGCTCTTATTTTTATAAATTTGGTTCAGTTCTTTATATGTTTGAGAAATGAGGCCTTTACCAGAGAAACTTGCTTCAAAAAATTCTTTCACAGTTACTATTGCTAACTGTATTTCCCTCCATCCTATTCTACTGCCTACCTTTATTCTATTCTCTCTCTCCTTTCACTGTCCCTCTTCAAAAGTGTTTTGCTTCTCCCCCAATCTGCCCTCCCTTCTATCACAAACCCCCACCCCTGTCCCCTCCTGCTTTCCTGTAGGGTAAGATAGATTTCTATAGCCAATTGCGCATGTATATTTCCGCTTTGAGCTATTTCTGATGAGAGTAAGGTTCACTCATTCTGCCTCACCTCCCCCCTCTTCCCCTCCACTGTAAAAGCTTTTTATTGCCTCTTTTATGTGAGATAATTTACCCCTATTCTACCTCTCTCTTTTCTGTTTCTCCCAGTATATCCCTCTCTCACCCCTTGATTTTATTTAGAAATCATCCCTTTATAGTCACACTATACATGTGCCCTCTCTATATATATACTCCTTCTAACTACCCTAATAATGAGAAAGGTCTTATGAGTTACAAATATCATCTTCCCATGTAGGAATGTAAACAGTTTAACCTTATTAGGTCCCTTGTGATTGCCCTTTGCTGTTTACCTTTTTATGTTTCTCCTGAGTCTTGTATTTGAAGATCAAATTTTCTATTCAGCTCTGGTCTTTTCAAGAATGCTTGAAAGTCTTCTATCTTATAGAATGTCCATTTTTTTCCCCAGAAGGATTATACTCAGTTTTGCTGGGTAGGTGATTCTTGGTTGTAATCCTAGCTCCTTTGCCCTCTGGGATATCATATTCCAAACCGTCCAATCCTTTGATGTAGAAGCTGCTAAATCTTGTGTTATCCTGACTCTGGCTCCATGGTACTTGAAATATTTCTTTTTGGCTGCTTGTAATATTTTCTCCTTGACCTAAGAACTGTAGAATTTGGCTATAATATTCCTGGCAGTTTTCCTTTTGGGATCTCTTTCAGGGGGTGATTGGTGGATTCTTTCAATTTCTATTTTACCTTCTGGTTCTTAGAATATCAGGGTAGTTTTCCTTGATAATTTCTTGAAAGATGATGTCTAGGCTCTTTTTATTTTATTTTTTTTTGATCATTGCTTTTAGGTAGTCTAATAATTTAAAAATTCTCTCTCTTGGATCTGTGTTGCAGGTCAGTTTTTTTTTCCAATGAAATATTCCACATTGTCCAAAATTTTTTTGTTCTTTTGGTTTTGTTTTATCGTTTGTTGATTTCTCATAGGATCATAGCTTCCATTTGTTCCGTTCTAATTTTTAAGAAATTATTTTCTTCAGTGAGCTTTTGGACCTCCTTTTCCATTTGGCCAATTCTGCTTTTTAAGGCATTCTTCTCCTCATTGGCTTTTTGGACCTCTTTTACTATTTGGCCTAGTCTGTTTTGTAAGGTGTTATTTTCTTCAGTATTTTTTTTTGTGTCTCCTTTACCAAGCTGTTGACTCGTTTTTCATGATTTTCTTGCATTACTCTCATTTTTCTTTCCAATTTTTCCTCTACCTCTCTTACTTGTTTTCAAAATCCTTTTTGAGCTCTTCCATGGCCTGAGACCAATTCCTATTTTTCTTAGAGCCTTTGGATGTAGGAGCTTTGACTTTGTTGTCTTCTGATTGTGTGTTTTGATCTTCCTTGTCACCAAAGTAAGATTCTATAGATTGAGGGTTTTTTTTCCCCCTCACTGTTTGCTTATTTTCCCAACTAATTACTTGACTATTTACCTCTGGTAAGGTAGGGCTCTGCTTCCAGTGTGGAGGGAGTACTACTTCAAGGGTTTTGTGCACCTGTTTTCAGAGATACTTCTAGGGACCTGTAATTTTTCAGTTCTTCCAAGGTGGCATGATCTAAGGAGACATATTTACTACTCTCTGGGCCTCTACTAGTTGTCCTGTGGTCTGTGAGTGACCATAAACATCTTTTCTGCCCTGGAACTGTGAGGAGTGTCTCTCCTCCCCACCCCCCACACTTCTGCCACAAGCTCTGGTGTACTGATGCTCCTCCTCGTTCTGAGACTGCCACCCAGTACTAGGACCCGGATCCAAGTATGTACAAACCAACAGAGTTCTTCCTCAATGCTCACAAAGAGACCTTTGTAATCTTCTTCTGATCAGTTGTTCTACTCCTTTACCATCTGTGGGATGAGAGCTCTATAAACAGCTGCTGTAACTGCTGATTCAATGATTTCCAAGGCCTGCTCTGGTTTGCTGTGGCTGGGCTGTGATGGCACACCTGCGTTGGACTAAGCTGTCTTTAGTATCTATGGGCAGAGGGGTCTGGAAACCACTACTGCTGCCAGGGATTCAGTCACCCCAAGGCTGCTCCGTGTTTGCTGGGGCCTGGCCTGTACTGGACTACACTCCTCTCTCACCCTGGTGCAACAGATCTTTCCTGCCAACTTTTCAAGTTGTCTTGGGCTGGAAATTTGTTTCACTGTCTTTTTGTGGGTTCTGCTGCTATAGAATTTGTTTAGAGTCATTTTTAAAGGTATTTGGAGGCGTTTAGGGGATAGCTCAGGTGAGTCCCTACCTTTACTCCACCATCTTGACTCTGTCTCCCTATCTTATTCTTTAAAGAGGAAAAGGGAATTATACCTGGTAGGACCCAAGATCTTAAGCCCACTTAAGTTTCTAGTACAAACTCTCAAATAACTGTCACTCTATCAGATACTACAGGAAACACAGCTATGAAAACATTGGATGAAAAGCTAAAAATTCATGAGAATTTGGTCTGGGTATTTCCTTTATCTGTAAGGATTTTTTTCTTTTTAAAAATTATTCTGTAGATAATGGAAAACCTAATGGAAAAAGAGTTGTGGGGGATGTGGCTTATCATGAAGCAAAAGAGAAGACTTCCTACATCACGCCAGCTCCTGGTGGAGTTGGACCCATGACTGTGGCAATGTTAATGCAGGTACTTCCATTTGCAAAAAAAAATAAATAAATAAAAAGCATTTTATGTAATAACAATCAGTACAACAGACAGTAGTTGTTTGTCATATCCTTCGGTTTCAGAAATGTTTGGAGAATAGACTCAGAAGAGATAAATAAATATATTAGCCTGGCAAAGAAATTTATGTGGAGATGAAGATAAATAAACATAGAGCTAATTATCTGTTCTAAAGGAGTAGAGCAATGGCACAGATGATCTCTAAAATTATTTATATTTGATTTTGAAATGTGGATCGCTCACTTTCTCAACACATCCCAACCATGAATGGAGGGAGGCAGCCCAGGAGTCTATTGGTTGGCAGTACTGAAGCCAGGCTGGAATGAAAACTTGCTGAAATTGAAGCACAATTCTTTATTGTGAGGTAATAGAAAGAACACTAAATATAGAGTCGAGAGATTTGGGTTCTTGTCTTGGTTCTTCTACTCACTCACTTTTTACTTTGGGAAAATCATTTAAGCTGTCTGGGCATCTGTTTCCTAATCTATAAAGTGAAGAAACATGGCCTCTAAGATCCTTTCCAGTTCTAAAATAATGTAATTCCAAGAATCTTGGGTCTGTCCACCATTGAATCAAGCTAGGTGGGAGAAGAGAGTGGGGGGGGGGGGTTGTTTTTATAAATATTCTTTGCCTCCTAAAATTAGGTATAGAACAAATGATTTTAGGGGTAGAAGTGAGGTATCCATTATGTTATACAACTTGTACCTCTTTTTTTATCCCCTACCTAGGATAGATAAGGTGTTTTGATCTTTTTACCAGACCCATGATTTCTTTTGAATAGGGAACTCCCAGGAAAGTAAGTCCCTCTACTGATGAAGTTTTTCAACTTTGCAGTCTTAGATTGCTGCTTGGAGAGCAACTGAGAAGTTGTAGCTATGCCATAGTCATGTTACAAGTCTGTATCCAGAAGTGAGACTTGAATTCAAGGCTTCCTGACTTGTCAGCTCTATCAGCTAAGCCATGACTGTAGTAATAACAATAGCTGACATTTATATTATACTTTAACACTTACAGTGCAGTTTGTATACATTATATCATGTAATCATGAACCCTGTGAGGCAGGCATGTGGGTATGTTAACCCCTTTATGCAGTTGAAGAAACTGAGGCTCAGAGAGGTTATATGACTTAACCAGGGTCATGTAACTACTAAGTACTGGAAAAAAAATTCAGACTTAGGCCACCTCTGCCTCTTAAGTTCAGTGTTGTTTCTATTACACCTGGTTGCATTTTTGTTTAAGGCGTCACGGTAACTTCATAGAAATTGCCTAGTTCTATCTCTCTTATGGGCAGGTGTATTACAGATGAGGAACTTGAGGGAAAGAAGCCCAGTGACTTACCCTAGGACCCAGTGAATGACAGAATTAGTATTATAACTCAGATCTCATAACATTTACTTAGCACACTGTTAAGCTACTTGTTCTTGCTTTTTCACAGATATAGGATGTCCCAAAAAGTCTTAGTGTAGTTTTAAGCTTAATGGCTTAAAGAATATACTGGAATAGACAATAGCTAGTAAGAGTAAATAGTGATAAAAGATGATTACTGTGCAACAATTTGAACACCATTAAACGAAGCAGCATAATGAAGAACAGCGTTCCAGCAGTCAGGTGACATCATTTCAAATCCCACCTCTTGACAGTTACTAGCTGTGTGACTATGACCAAGGCGCTTAACCTTTATAAGCCTCAGTTTCCTCAACTGAATAATGGGGATTATTACCTATAGCACTTAGGTTTTTGTGAGGGACAAAATGAGATAATTTTATTTCATTACTACAATAGATCTGCAATTTCCTCTGACAGGGTATATCACTGCCCATCCATGCCTCCCCATCTTGTTCAGTTTATACCTTTATACTTCAAGAATTTGACTCTGGAGGCCTACTTGTTTTATGATAATAGATGTAAAACAAAATACTTGTAAACATTAAAATCCTCTATGTCAGCTATCATTATTGTTGTTGTTGTTGTTATTACTCCAAGATGTCTTTCAAATTTTTTGAGTGTCATTTGCTTTTAATTTGGGCTTTCCATCATACATATGACTATAGTATGGTATATTGGAAGATAGCATCCCTTGCCAGTTTAACAGATTGTACCATTTCATTCCATTGAGATCTTTAACTTTGTTCTGTGGGACCTTGCTTTGTAGGGTTTGTGTTATCAACTCAAATAGCTAAATGGGCAAACTTTAAAAAAAAATTCTGACTGCTGCCATAAAATTACAGTATCTCACATTCAATAGATGCGTTTAGGGAAAGGTAGGAGAAAGTTTTTGATCATTTAAGAGGGAATATTTTTTAAAATTTCTAATTCACAACAGAATAGAAGGAAGTTTAGAAGGGAACCTACAGTGAGGGTGATTGTAAGTTAAAACTAATTTAACTTTAGTATATATTTTAAATTATGAACTTTATGTAATAGATTAATGGTTTCACATACAATCACCTTTTTTGTCCTTTGTATATGGAAATGTTCATGTTGCTGATTTTCTAGTTCCTAATTTTAAATATATGTATACTTTCTGAAAGGTATGCCAAAAAATGGAGCATCATCACTTATGAAAATCAGATAATTACTTCCTTTTGTAAGGTTATATTAATCTTTTGTGTATGTGTGTATGTTTTTATTTAGAGCACAGTAGAAAGTGCAAAGCATTTCCTAGAGAAATGTACACCAGGAAAATGGAACATCCAGTATAACCATCTTAGCCTCAAGACCCCTGTTCCAAGGTAATTTTACTGCTGACATTAGAACCACCTATCCTGAATTATGTAATTAGTATATGTGTATGGTATTTCTAGAAGCAGCTTACTCTGAGGGGAATTCTATTATTAAATTGACTGAATGAAGCACCACATAAAATTTCCTCCACATTTCTTTAAAGTGACATTGAAATATCACGTTCTTGCACAGCAAAGCCCATTGGTTACCTGGCTAAAGAAATTGGCTTGCTCTCTGAAGAAGTGGAAATGTATGGTCAGACAAAAGCCAAGGTTTTGCTGTCTACCTTAGAATGCCTGAAACACCAGCCTGATGGAAAATATGTGGTCGTAACGGGGTATGTTTTTCTGATACATGTTACCAAGTTGATTGGTAACTCAAAATCAAACTATAGATTTTTTCCTCTTTTTTTTATGAACTTTGTAAAATATCAACATATATGAACATTTCATTGACTCCTTTTTTTCTGTTTTAATAGCATTCTTATTCTTCCCGGCTCTTCCCTGCATCTCCCCTGCCACTCCCAAATGAAAGCCCTTCCATTGTAAAAAAAAAAAATACTATGAGCAAAAGAAATTTACATGTCAATCATGTCTGAAAATATAAGCTTCATTCTTCACGTACAATCCATTACTTCTCTGCCAGAAGTTAAAAAGCATGTTTGATAATCAGTCTTCTGGAGTCATTATTGATTTTTATGTTGTTCAGAGTCCTTAAAACTTTCAAAGCTGTTGTCCTTTACATTGTCATAGTCATTGTCAAAATTGTTCTGGTTCTGCTCACTGCATTCAACATTAGTTCATACAGATCTTCCCAGATTTCTCTTAATCAGCCCCTCTTGTCATTTTTTACAACTCAGTAATATTCTGTTACACTCATACATGAGAATTTGTACAGCTCCCAGTTAATAGGTCCCGGCTTTGTTTTCAAATTGATGCTCTAAATATTTTTTGTACACACAAACAATCTTTTCCTTCATTTCTTATCTCTTTGGGGTATATTTCTAATAGTTCTTGCTACCATTTCTAATGCATACAGATTTCCTAGCCTTGTATGACATGGAGGAAGAGATGGTTTATTTTTCAAGTTAATTCATCTGCCCTCATTTTATAGATAGTGAACTACCTCTAAGGAGATGAAGTGATTTGTAGGGTTGGGACTAGATTGTAGGTTTCTCAACTTCAGTTCAATGCTTTTTCCATTCTACTTTAGTAAGAGGAACATAGAGGTTAAATGGAAAAACAGTGATCTTTATCTAATTTGAGGCTCAACCAATTTCCTGTACTAACAGATAGACCAATGACTGTGGTTTCTATTCTCCCCAAATAGTGTAGTGGCTACTTAGTGAAGGGTGGAAGCAAAGTAGGACATTGATTTAGTTTCATAGTTTTAGGAACTGTATCAGATCCCTAAATGGAAAATGGAAATGATGCCATCTTAGGCATTTCTTTCTCAGATTTTTTTTAAAATGGTGGAATTATTTCATGATGACAGTGGGGTAAGGTCTCTGTGTCGGTTTTATTCTTTACACCTTTTATTCCATATTTCTTGTACCAAAACAATTATTAAAGTTTCAGTAAAAAAATTCAATGAAATCCAAGTACTGTAAATAAATTGATTTTTTTTGTTGTTGGTTTTTTTCCTCTTGTTTTTTCATTTTTATATTAAAGAATAACCCCTACACCTCTGGGAGAAGGAAAGAGTACAACCACACTAGGGCTGGTTCAAGCTCTGGGAGCACATCTTCACCAGAATGTTTTTGCTTGTGTTTGACAACCATCTCAGGGCCCAACCTTTGGAATAAAAGGTATTCGTTGGTCTTTGATCCTATGGTCAGTGAGAACCTTCTCATTTCATTTGATTGGATTTTTGTTCCCTGCAGTAGAACGCTTAGATTCTGGCTAGGCCAGGTATCTTCTGATGGTTATAGGAGTTCCAATGTAGTACGATTATTAACCTGCTCCAGATGTAGTTTGGGTGAGGGTTCTTGTCAGATCTTTAACAGGATTAGTCCTATTCCTCGCCTGCTGTTGCGGTCAGTACTACAAAAGGATCGTCTGGAATTCTGTTTATAGGAAGTAATAACTTATTGCTCAACGACATGACACTCATTTTATATACCTATGTGTAACATTAATGTAGTGCGTCTGAGGTGTTACAAAATACTTTCCTAATTGCACTTTTGTGAGATGGGTAATATTATTTTCTCCATTTTATAGATAAGGAAACTGAAATTCAGGCATTTGTCCATGGTCAAATAGTTAAAAGTATCTGAACAGTCATTTGAACTGTGGTCCCCCAGTCCCAAGTCCATTTATCTTTCCACTACATCCTTCTGTCTTAGTTAGTTGTTACTTATCTCTAATGAATGAAAATGAGCTCTAAGCAGGATTTGTACACTTTTCTTAAAAACTTCTCTCAACATAATTGCCATATACTTCCAATTATAATTATAAGAGCAGAACCTTTTACTTTCAGCTTTTAATTGGCTTCTAATACAACTCTTGTTAATTACTAATATAATTTCATCTTTGCTTGTATGACAATCTGTTTAATGTTCTCATTAACACTACTCAATGCTCTTCTTAGCTTCATCTCTTAAACATTTTTTATTAGTTTATTTACCTTTCAATTCTGCCTTTACCTCATCTTAACCTTTCCTTAAAAGCATCAGCTAACATAACTAGAAAAATTTGTTCTCTTCTTTCTAAGCCTTGCACATTCCTATTTGATTTCTCAGACTCATTTGTCATCTTTTCAGTGATTAATGACTGCCCTAGCTCAGATATCCCTTCTTAGGCTAAATCCTTAGTATGTCACAATAGTTTGTCTTTCTTATTGATCCATGTTTACAACTGAGAGACCTTTGGATCTAAGCAAAAATATAGCAGTAGTAACATTTCATGGAAGAGCTTCCTATGTCAGCATATTTAGAGAGATGTTTTCTCTATGTTTCTGTATCCCTTTCCAACATCATTATGGCATTTGTGATACTACTATTTTTAAAATTTTAACCACTTTGAGTGAATGACTTTCCAAATCTTTTATATAATTCCTTGTCTCCTTTATATTTTTAAAAATTTCTTCAGCAAGCATTTGGCCCTGACAGCTTAATGATTATTCCTTCCCAGTGGAAGGGATCTTCTTCCATTGTCTCTGTCCATTTGCCCTTGTATTTTTGAATGAATTTTCTTTTTGTAAGTTCTGCTTTCTTTACTTCATACCAGTTCCTTTTTAAGGGGAAAAAAACATTAGTTCATTTTCTTGTGGAATTGTTTAATCTAATTGAAGAATATTAGCACTAAAAGGGAACTTGGAGAACATCTACTCTAAGATACTAATTTTACAATTGAAGAAACTGAGGACCAAATAATTAAGGAACTCTTAACTGAATGCTTGATTTTTTTATTAGGGCTTATTTAGTTTTTCTCAAAATTGGTGCCATTGGGGAACGTATTTCCAATGCTAATATTATTTTTACTTTTTATAAAGATAAAGGGCTTTATTTTAATATTCATAAATGGAAAGCAGATATAATTATGAACAAATTTGTCCAAATCATTGCCAAAAATATATAGCCAGCTGTCTTAATTGATAAGAAGTTTCAATTTCTTCTTTTTTTTTTTTTTTTTTTAATTTTTAAGAGAAATTTCAGTATAGCTGCTGATTAGATACGCTTATTTTTGACCTGACTTCTAGGTGGAGCTGCAGGAGGGGGCTATTCTCAGGTTGTTCCAATGGAAGAGGTAATTTTCATTTTTCTTGGTTTTCTAAAACTGAAGCTTTTTTATTTGGCAGGTAATCTCTTTCTGTTAGTATGTGAGCAATTTGCTACTCAGCAAAACTTCTTGAAAGGAAACACTTCTTAATTTGTCAACTTGTTGCAAACTTATTTCATTCATATGCGTGGCCTTTAAGGGTTAAGGATGTCTTTTGCCTAAACATTAATTTTTAAAAGTTTCTAAGCCAGTGAATGAACTGGATCATGAGATTGGGAAGGAGACCTTTATATATATTTATAAAATATAAGAAGATATCAACACTCAGAGAATTTTAAAATGTTGTGACTCAAACAAAGAGTAAACTAGTTCTTAAATATACATGAGTTGTGTTGAAATATAACTACCTAGTGAAATGCTAACAACAGAACTTTATTACTCACTTATGGGACATGAAAGACAAATACAGCTGAATTTTTTAAATGTTCCTGTAGCTTACCCTAACAGCATATGTCTTTTCTGAGTTCTGGACCATGTTATTTAGGAAATGCCACATTGACCATGTTTGGGAGGGGTTCTTTATGTGGGTAGATTATTGGTAATTTTTTTTTCATTTTCACAAGTTGTATGGAGTATTTTCCCAGTAACTATGATCTGTTACTATTCTACTGACTTTAGCATAGTAGTTGGTTCAGTTGCCACAGACTGCGTGTTTAGAAATAATGGGAAGTTGGAAAATTGATGTGAAGAAAAAAAATTTTTTTTTTAGTTCAACCTCCATCTCACTGGTGACATCCATGCCATTACTGCAGCTAATAATTTGGTTGCTGCTGCTATCGATGCCCACATATTCCACGAACTGACACAGACAGACAAGGTACGGTAGAATATTTAGAAAATAAAACTAAAGATCACCTGAATTTGAAGTATTGTTTATATGGCTCTTGGTGGTGATAATATGCATAAGATGATGCTTTTGTCTTTAAAAGACCTATTTCTTCTTTTCTTCAAGGCTCTCTTTAATCGTTTGGTGCCTTCAGTCAATGGAGTGAGGAAGTTCTCAGATATTCAAGTCCGTAGGCTGAAGGTAAATTTCCATTTTGTTTTGTGATTTGAAGGAATCATACTGGGGTAGGAAAAGGAAGTGAAGCTTCTAATGGCCTGTTGTTGAGTCAGTCATTGTCGCATCTACAGCTGGGGTTCTAAAGACCTCATTTTACTTAAATGATGCTGTGACGGGGACTGGTGTAGACCGTTAATGATTTCAGCCACAAATTTCAAGCAGCCAGATCTCAGATGAAACATATATGATCTCTGTACAATCTCACCAAAAGGAGATTTTATATGCTAAGGCTAATAATGCTTTTACGCTTACAGCACTTTTCACTTTTTTCAGTGTTCTCACATCCTTTATTTTGCGTGCTTCACAACCATCTATTGCAGTGGGCGTTGTCTCAGTTTTACAAAAATAGAAATTGAGGCACAAAAAAATGAAGTGTAATACCTAAGACTGTGTATCAAACTGTAGTCAGTGCCTGCACTTAGGTCTCCTGAGCCCTAGACCCAGATTTTTTTCCAGTATAAAAGCAGGAGGCAACCCCTGATACCTCTCACTCAATTATTTGCATACTTTTTGACAGCTCTTAGCATATCTGTCATCTGTGGTCACAGGGTCATAGATCTAGTTAGAGCTAAAAGAAACACCAGAGGCCATAAAATCTAGACTCTGATTTTAGAGATGAGGAGCCTGAGTACCAGGGACAGTTTAGTCTTCTGTCCAAGATTGCACATAGTAAACATTAGAGCCATACAGGGTCTTTGAATGAATGCCCCCTCCTAATTGAGGGATTTGATATGGATATTGGTATGTCAGCAGCAAAATCCATGTGATTCCCGTGTGAGAGACTAAAGATAGGTAAAATTTACTTTTTAGATATTGTGGGCTAAAAATCAGGGAGTGTAGTTTTAACTAA